TGTGCATTGTATTGACGACATTAAACTAGACGGAATTTTCTGTATAAAAGAAGATAGCGCTCTATGTAGTGCACTGTCTATTACGAGATGACGGTATTTTCAGTATCAGAGTAGGTAGCGCCCTATTCCAGGCGATAAAACTTATAAAAATTCGTGCTGAGTTTCTAAGCCTTCCCGAATAAATCACTTTTTAATTTGTCTTCGATGCGCCTGCTCAAGCGTCTTCGAGTCTCTACAGGCCGTGCAGCACTCGCCATTGACCAGCTTAGGGCCGAGCTAGAAGCCGCAGAGCGCAAGCTCGGCATCGAGACGTCACGACTTTCAGATGGGCACCGTTCGTCATCCCCCGATCCCTTTTTTTCCTCGGAATGTGAGTCCGAATCCGATTCGGAGACGGCTCCGCCAGAGTGGGGGGGGGGGGGGCTGTCGTCGCATTGCGCTGTCCAATGAGCCCAACACACGGGCCTGCTAGCGCCGCTCTGATACATCACCACCGGAGCCTCACCAGCACGGTGAGCGGATGCCTGCACTGACCGCCGCTTTGGGTACGCCCCCTCCATCACCGTCGCTGCCCCGCTACTGCATGCAGCGACGTCGTCGCTCGAAGGACGTGAAGCAAGACACCTAAATTGATTCAAAGAAGACGTCTTATTGGCTCCAAATATTGTTAGTTTTGGCACTTCCTGCTGTTTCGTGTGGCTCTTAGTCAAGTCTACTTAAGCTATGGCGACCACTGTGGTACTTTTCGCTACTTTCCTGCAGAAAATAGCTTGACTAAAACCTATTGTTCCGCATAGTAATGGTGTGTCGCATCGTATTCTGTTTAAACGAATAAACAACTTTATCGGCAGACGGATTACCGACAGGTAGTAGGATGAAGTTCTTACTAGGACCAGTCTCTCACCGACTTTTTATTTGAAGAAGTAAAAAAAATCGTATTTGCCTTTTTTTTCTCAGCTGCATCCATACTAAAAAAAGTGGATATTTTGTGTAAGCTAGGAGCAGGTAATTTCAAACTTTGCTCTTTAAAAACGGCCATAAGCTTTGTGAAAAGGACGCGAGAAGAAAACTGCAAAGATGTTATAATGCTTGTACAAGTACTTTTCGTAGTACATGTATGCAGGATCTGGAAACACTGATGGTCAGCAATAATGAAGCCTTTCTTTCAATATATGATATATTTTTAACAAAATAAGGTATCACGATGGACTCCACCACTTACTTGGAGCTCAGTTTTGATAATGGCAGATAATGTTTAAGTACCGAAAAATCATTTGTGATCAGATTGAAGATTATGAAAAGCCATGTTATTACAATTGGTAACAATAAACTTTTTGTCTGTTTCTAACAATCAGTGTATCCGTAAATATTGGGATTGATTTGTGAAAGCTGACAATAACACGAAGTTCAACGCGGGAATTTGTCAGACTACTATCAATTTCACTTCTGATTGGCCATTGTCTTTAAATGACCAAGATGAAGATGCCAATGCTGCCCACGTGGCTGCTACTAGCGCTGCCCGGGATTTTGGCGCAAGGCGACTTCGCGGCTCTGGATCCAGAGGCCGCCGCAGTTGCGGAAGACCCACACTTTGATCCGTATGACGACAAGCCGCGTGGAGTTGGAGCAGACGCGGAGTACGCTCCAAAAGCTCGCGCCGTGGAAAGCTTCGACTTCGATCCGTCCGAGGGCTTGACGTTCTACGTAGCTGGAGAGAGCAGCGATTGCTTCTACCAGGACGCCAAATTCGACGGAGATGAATTGGGCGGCGCCTATGTCGTGAGCTCTGCAGATTCGCACATTGATTTGGAGGTGAAGAACCCTGAGGGCGTCACTATCTACCGACGACTAGGAGACGCAGAGGGACAGTATCTCGTCATACCCAAGTGAGTTCTGGCTGCTAAATGGGCGGGAGAGAGTAGCTGACAGCTTGGCGATGGGGTTGTGTGCAGGCAATCGGGTGTACATGAGTTCTGCTTCATCAATCCGGACTCGGACGGGAAGCTAGTGACGCACGTGACTAACACGTTGCAGTCGCAGCATCCGGTTGAGAAAGGTTGGTCCACTTGTGTGCTATAAGTCTTCTAGACTCCGGTTAACTATTATGACTGATGTTCAGAGCACGTGAGTGTGTTGGCGAAGTACGCGTCGCACTTGGATGTGCGTCTCGGCGAGCTCGAATCAGAGCAGAGATTGCAACTCATTCGGACGGACAGGCATATCAAGGGTGAGCTTCGACGTTTAGAGCTGTTGTATGATACGAAGTGCTGACATCTAGTTTACTTGCAGTGGAGGAAGAGATGAACAAGCACGTCATGTTCTACGGTGCATTGGAGTGCGCAGTCTACCTCGTAGTGTGCTTCTTCCAAGTGTACTACATTAAGGGATTGCTCGACAGCCCACGCAAGGCTCGGTCCTGGGTTTGAGAGTAAGTTCATAATAAATGCCACTTGGCAATATCCGGAAAGTTCATTGCAAAGGTAAGGTCAAATTTAATAGATCATGTCAAGCTATGGCGTCTGTAGAGAGGCATCCAGTGCCTTGATATACTCCAGGTCGGGTCGGTTGTCGTTTGGTCGGTATTGTGTCCACAGGTCGAGGAAATCAGGTCCAAGTCCTTTGATCTTGTCTCCACTCTCATCTTCATACATCCACAAGTAGCATCTCGCTACCTCTTCCAGCTCCCTCTCCGGCAGCTGCAGCACCGTCCACCACGGCTCGTTCTTCTCTGTTGCTACATTCGGACTCACTTGATGATGATACAAACACGCCAGGTACACTGCACCAGCAGCAAGCGCAATGCAGTCAAACGCCAGTATCAAGCCACTTTTCACAGCATCGGCGACCAGCATGAATGTGACTTGACGAATATTCTCGTACGAAATATCCGGATGCATCGCCTCCAAGTCGAAAATCTTCTCCATGTGCGGAGCCACATAGGCAAATGGCTGCGGCGCTCCGATCTCGAAAGACAGGGTGAGTAGCAAGATCCTTTCGAGGAGCAAGACCTTACTGGAGTTGGCTTCGACCTCTCCGACCTCCACGACCTCTAATAACGCATTCAGCCACTCGATGTGCTTGGTATTTGCTGCTTCCTTGTCATTTCCGAGCGTGGAGCTCATCTCCACAAGTTTTCCTTTGGCATCGAGCTTCTGATTCTTTTTGGCCGCAGCAGGAGACGGCGAGTGACGCTGTGCAACAGCTGCATTGGCTTTCGGCGTATGAGACTTATGTTTCGTCGTTAATTTCTCTTGAGCTTGTTCTCGACATAGCAGTAGGTACATGGAGCACTCGGTGACGTAGCGGACCTTGACTGGGAATTCCTCCGTCTTGCCAGCTAAAAACAGCGCAGCTGTAGCTACCAAGAAGCGGTCGTGGGTCGCAAACGAATGCATCATGTAGAATCTTTGGACAAACAATTGAGCGGCTATGCTGGGAGCTTCAGGCATCTCCAGGAGCTGCGCTAGGTGCTCGATGAAGGTACAGGTGGTACGTCGCAGCTGTTGTTCCACTCGCCACGGCACCTTGGACTCGGTGAAGCTCGGCGTGTGGAACACCGAAGGGCTCTCTGTATCCGTGTTCTCCTTCTCTGCATCATCAGACGTCGCGCTTGGTGTCCGTGAAGACCGCAGGATCACGGCACGAAGCTGCGAGAAAACCCACTTATCTACAGGTTCAGGTGCCATCGATAGAGTAATGAGCTCTTGTAAAGATGGCACAAATAGCCCACGGTACCAGTATTGAGGCACACTGTACCACTCTTCTTGTGACTGGCGACGCCGTACAGACCGCATATCTAAGAGTATGATGCTGAAGCTAGTGTTGCGCGCACAGCGCGGCATGCGCGCATTCGCAGGGATCGGCGCCACCCGCAAGCTCATGCTTGCAGCTGAAGCAAGTGCACCCTCTTCTGTCGCTGAAGCGTCGTCTATCTTTGCTAAAGTGGGTCGTGACATTCCTCTCAAAGTTGTGCCCCGAGCGGAGCGACGAGCGGCTCGCAAGGCCGCCAAGCACTCCGCCGACGCTGCCACCGGCCACAAGGTCGTGCGTACGTCGTCGCTTCCTGCCCGTATCTCATTTGCGCTTCTCGCTGGCAGTATCTCGGGCTCCATCGTATGGAACTTCGTGCTGGACGACGGCATCAAGAGCCGCGTCAAGGAGACGCTCGGCGCGACATTCCTGGGCGATATCTACGCGATCATTGCTAAAAAGGTGGAAGAGACCGTCAAGCCATTCACAGATCCGTCCAGACAGAAGCTGCTGCCCGATTGGCCCATCCCACAAGTGCCTGCGGACACGCCGCCCGTCCCCGTGTTGGTGCTCGACCTCGAAGATACACTCGTGCACTCCGAGTGGAGCGTACGTTGCTGCAATTGCCGCAATTGTTATACATTACGCTGATATATTACATATTTGCGGTTTTTCGTGCTGCAGAGGAAGCACGGCTGGCGTCACGCCAAGCGTCCCGGCGTGGACGAGTTCCTGGAGACCCTGTGCCAATACTACGAGATAGTGATCTTCTCGCAGAACTACGGCGCCGAGGAGATCGTGCAGAAACTGGATCCGAAGCAGTGCGCGCTGCACATTCTGTCCCGTGATGCCACGCGGTACCTGAACGGCGCCCACGTCAAGGACCTGTCGAACCTGAACCGCGACTTGAGACAGGTGGTGATTCTGGACGACGACCCGGCCGCGTACCAGCTTCAGCCCGAAAATGCCATTCCAGTTACGCCCTTTACGAATGGACGGGATCGCGACGACCACGAGCTTAAGGATCTGATTCCGTTCCTAAAGGCGTTGGCTTCGGAACGGGTTCCGGACTTCCGTCAGGTGATTGGTGAATTCCGTGACGAGGACGGAGTCGTCCGTGACCTCGCCACCAAATACGGCGCCCGTGTGCACCAGCTTGAGATGCAGAAGGAGCAGAAGAAGAAAAAGGGCTTCGGTGGCTTCGTTCGAGGTCGGCTGTCACACCACCCTGCCTCACCGACTGGAGGTGTAGCTGCTAGCGGCTTCTCTAGTGGGCCGCACGTTTAAAGCGATGGACGTTGTTAGATTCATCAGCGTACGTGTAGCTCCCGATGCATAAAGGAGAAATGCATGTAGTTTGATGGGATTTGTGCTTTTTGGTCTTGAGCTTAGCTGTATAACAAGTGTGGCCTGCAGCAGTTAGTAGTAAATGCTCCACGTGCGATGGTGTGGCAACAGATCTTCTTTGTTGTCTTCTCCAATTTGCCAGAGCAGCCAATCGAGCTCAATCACCTTGAGACGATGCCCTTTGGTGACCATTTGCTTGTGGATCAACTCGACCGCTTGGATAGTTGCTGCTCGGATTTCCAACTCCATCTGAAGAAATAAATTATTTTCGGGATGTTACGAAGAGGTTAGAGCGTTGTTAAGATAGTGCAAATGCTGGGAGCTTACCTCGCTTCCAGCCGGGATCTCCGCTTTACTGTCGACGAGCTTCGCTAGCTCCGCAGAATAAACAAGCACGCCCTCGGGACGCAGAACTTGCGGTACTCGGTAGTCAGCTAGTAGATGAAGTTCACGTGGACAGGTAGACATAAGTATAAAGTGACCATAGTATAGCTAGAATTTTCTTACCAAACATCGTCAATTTCCCGATATCGTGGAAAGAAGCAGCTCCGGACGTTTGACGTCCGTAAGCTGCCCAAACGTCCCCAACCAAAATCTGGGCACGCTTGTAGAAATGCACCTGCTCGCCCTTATACACTGCGTGGTCTCGGAAGCCTTACAGCAGTAAATTGTGTTAGTGATGCTAGCTAAAATACAGAAAAAAATAAGAAACGGCGTTACGTGCCTGGGAAATACGCCAGCACAAGACGAATAGCTTCAACGGCCGAGCAATTGGCTTTCTTGATCAAGTTCAAAGCCTGTCCGTCGAAAAATTGCAGCAACACTTCGCCCACTTCTCGGACCTTACGTCGACGTTCATCCAGTTGTGGTGGCGTGAACGGATGGAACCAAGACGCCACCATGTCATTGGTCACCTTCGCCAAGTTCTCAGCATCCAGCGCATGAGGATCATGTAGCAACGTCGTTTTCAGGCCCCTCGCCAAATGCTCGTACTCCATACTGTTGTCACGAACGAAAGTTGATAAAAAAACTCGAGTTTGAAATGGTGCATTTACCTACTTTTCCGTGGGCCAGAAGCAAAAATTGAGGGCGTCCAGCACAAATACATATTGACACGTCACAGGGCCGTCCTGCTTCACGTCCTCGAAGTAGTGAAAGTCGCCGCTGTCCCACGTCACAACGCCCTGATCGCCTTCACTTAACCTGGCACTCTATACTCAACAGCTTATTACGAATTGTATCTACATAAAATGAAAAAGTGAATAAAAGACGAAGCGTAGCTCGAGTACCAGCTTGGCTGCGAGGCACTCCACCGCTGCAGACCCAATGTTCACGTGGTTGGCGCGCTGCACTACACGCGCAATAGACTCTCTGACCAAGGCGGTAGGGTCCATACCGTAAAAATTCCAACTGTCCGACGTACGTTAAAAATCGGACTTTGCGCGGTACATGTGTTACACATAATAAAAACAAAATTAAAAAATCCCTTCTCTCTGAGGGCCCACAGCCATTCTACAAACCACGGCCACGAGCGCGCAGCGGTGAGGGCGGAGCGCAATTCTACGGCCCTCCTGCGACCTCAAGGCCTCGGTCGCACCTCTACGCGCGCGGCATCACTACCAGGGTGTGACGGGGTCACACAGCACCTTGCGCTAGAGGAAGTTATCTTCCGAGAGTATACAAACTCTCAGTGAACGGCAGTTCACAGGTCCCCTCTTTAATTAAAGAGAGCGAAGTGACCTAAATAAGGTAGATTGTAAACTGAGTATATTTATAGGTAGGTTAAGTTTGAGGTTAATACAAACTATCAGTTACCTATAGAAATGCAATGTCATTTAACCAATGGTTGGTTTTGAATGACCTTGGTACCTTGTACCAAATATCCCGGAGTATGACATGTCATACTCCTGAAGTGTGAAGTGTCACACTTCATGTAACCAGGGTACACTTAGTGCTACGTACCCCGTTACATCCTCCCCCACTTAGGTTCGGTTTACCGACCAATCAGAATGAAGAGATGTTCGTCACAAACTCTCATTCTCAAAGTCGAAAACCATCGACTCGGCCGCGCGAGCGCGGCGGAGGCTCACTTTACAGTTAGAGCCTCGAGCAGCAACCTGTGCGCTCTTCGTCAAGGTCTCCACTTCGACCGTTAACATGCCTCGTGGCACTGCTAAGAGCGGTGCTAAGACACGCTCCAAGGCTGCAGCCGGTAAGGCGCAGGCCAAGAGCACTAAGCCTCACGGCAAAGGCTCTGCACTTAAGGAGGCTACTCAAGTGGCCTCCGAGGCGATCGGATCCTCGGGTGACGCGGCTGCGGACAAGCGCGCAGCAGGCGCCGCAGTCCGTCGCCCTTCGTCTTCAGACATCGTCCGAATCCTCGGTTCGTAAAACGTGAGTTCAACTCGGGCAGTGAGGGACGATGCCGAGTCCGAGAGCACTCATGATGCTCCTGCGGGCTCTGTGGGAGGGCACAGCCCAGTGCCCAGTGAGCACAAAGAAGACAGCGTGCAGTCGTCCGCTAGTGATCACGGTGATCACAGTCCCAGGACCTCTGTGCGCTCTGAGAGTCCGGCCGTTAAGGCTAAGGGCACTCCCAAAGCCGGTGGCGATGAGGAAGGGAGTCCTCGCAAACGTCTCTCGCTTGCCGAGGGTCTTGCGCGCGCTAAGGCCTCTAAAGCCGAAGGCGCCAAGCCCTCAAAGAAGCGTACCGCCTCTAAGTCTCCACTCCGCGAGGAGAAGGAGACTCGACGCTCCTATCAGAGTCTCTTCGGCTCCTCGGATGAAGAGGAGGAGAAGGAGGAAGAAGAGGAAGAGGAGGGTGCCATTGTTGAGCCCCGGGAGGTCTCGAATGACCTCGACCAGCAGCAGGAGGATTTCCAAGCTGCCCAGCGTGTGCGTGGGGGTTCGGTGGCGGCTCCCGTCAGCCAGGGAGCTGCCATCAACTCAAGAGGGTATTGGCCTCCCGAGGAGAGCTCTGGGGCTGACCTCTTCTTAGAGCTTCTCGTCGCTCCTCGTGGCCTTGTGGGCGGCCACACTTCTAGGGGCATCTATGAACGAGCCCTTGTTCAGAAAGAACAGTTGTTCGTCGACAACGTGGAGGCTGCTCGGTGTGTGCTTCTCGCGCCACACCGCATTCCCCTTAAGGACTTCACGACTTGTCGTAAGAAGCCCGAGACCCGGGGTGGTCTCTATCCTGTTTGGGGATACCCCTGGGTTATGCCCGAGAACTGTCCCACATGGAGTTCTTGTGAGGACAAGTTCTGGGCGTGGGTGGAGACTCTCAAGTACTCGCCCACGGAGTTATGGGAACTCCATGAAGATCAGCAGCTGTCCCACATCCTGGACCAGCGTGATCTTCGTGTGAGGTTTGCCCACTTGATCAGCAAGCGTATGCTGCCAAGGGACATCCTGAAGCGCGCGGCTTCTAGCGCTCACGATGAGCGCGGGTACGGTATGTATTCATCATCCGTACCCCGTTCGGGCAAGAAGCCCCGGACTACTTATGAAGCTGCCGCCGCTTCTGTTCCCAGATTGCGACAGCCTTCGGGCAGTCAATCAGGAGCCGTTCAATCGGCTCCCACGAGTTCTCGGAGTGGGCATAACCCCTCCACTTCACGAGGAGCTGTCGCTTCCCGCGACACCGTTGCTCCTGGAGGATCCGCTCCACGTGGAAGTGGACTTCTCCATTCCGGTCAAGCAGGGGCGGAGGTGCCCTCGTACGAGTACGAGTACTCGGCGCCTCCCGAGAGCCACTCTCGTTCGAGTGCTCCGACTGCGGGTCCGACACGGGACCCTGAGGTTGACCGCCTCCGTCAACGTCTCCTCGTGCTTGAGATTGCACTTGGCCTTGGGACTGGCGGTAATGCTGCCGCCCAGGCCGGGAATCAGAGCGAGCTCGCTCGTCTTGCGGGTCGCCTGGACCTGGTGGAGCGAGAGGTCGCGAGCCTGCTCCTGCGGGTGGACCGCCGGGCCTCTTCGTCCGATCTGGACGAGGCCTTTCGCATGATCCGACGGATCGAGGCTTTGTTGCCACGTCCGGAGCCGCCTGCGGCACACTCCCAGACGTACGCGTATGGTGCGTACCCGGCGTACTCAGCGTACTCGGCGTATGGCGCCGGGGTCCGTTCGTATGGAGCCCCTCCGGCGTACGGTCTTGACCGCAGCCTTGCCGTCCCGACCGGCTTGGGTGCCTGCTCCGACGCCCTCGTCGACGACTGTGACCGGCCCTCGCTTCGAGGAGCTGGGTCAAGGGGGGTCTGCGAGTCAGCAACCCCCTGCGGGTCAAAGTACCGCTTAAGACGTCCGACATAGAACGTCGGGTGCGTCGTCATTGACTTTGGAAGGTCGATGGTGTACGACGCACCATGTCTGGCCAGGACTGCAAAAGGTCCGATGAAGCGGTGCTTCAGCTTGTTGCTGCCGACAGAGCTAACAGTGTCTAGAGGTAGGTTCCTCGTGTCTAGTAACACTAAGTCACCAATCTCAAATATACTTAAGTTTCCTCTTCCTTGTTTGTCCGAGTACTCCTTTTGTTTATCTTGGGCCGCTGCCATGGCATCGCGGACCCTGCTGACAATGTTCAGCTTGGTATCCATAAAGGATTCCACCTGTTTCCGCAGCGAAACTGGCCTCACATCCGAGACCTGGGAGGAAAGGGCTTTCCGAGCCTCTCCCCCACTTAGAATAGAGGAGTCAGTGTTTCCTCGAAGAGTGAGAGGCACTCTGGGGTGGCGGAAGCCGTTCAAGTAGAACGGCGTGAACCCCGTGGACGCGTGCACCGCGTTGTTGAGCGCAAACTCAACAACTGGAAGCTGCGTCGACCACGTACGTGGCGCTGCCGCGCACACACTGCGCAGAGTGTCCTCGAGCACTCGATTGACGCGCTCTGTTTGGCCGTCTGTCTGCGGATGATCCGCAGTGGACATCTGCAGACGAGCTCCCAGTAAAGGGAACAGCGTTTTCCAAAACGCAGCAGTGAACCGCGGGTCTCGGTCCGAGACAATCGTCTCCGGGAGACCGTGATAGCGGAACACGCCATCGACGAACAACCTTGCGGTTTGTTCGCCCGTCACAGTGACGGGAACTGGAGCAAGATGTACCATCTTGCTCAGCCGACACACGAACACCAAAATTCCGGTGTTGCCGTGTCCGTCGGCGGGAAGCCCAAAGATGAAGTCAAGACTCATCGACTTCCAACAATCAGCCGGTACGGGCAGGCTCTGTAGTGGAGCCGAAGAGTGCCCTGCGGGTTTAACCCGCTGACATGTTTCACATGTCTTGACGTACCGGGCGACCCACTTGTACATGTGGGTCCACCAGAAGGACTGAGAGACCGACAGAAAGGTCTTCTCGCGGCCCAAGTGGCCGCTGGAGGGCGCGTCATGCGCCTCCGCGAGGATGTCGAGCTTCAGATCCTCGTCGTTGGGTACGACCACCCGTGGAGGATCAGTGGGCTCCACCCGATAATAGAGGAGGCCCTCCTTCAACTCATATCGGTGGAGCCGTGAGCGCTGTCGCGACGAGAGCCAGTCGGACTTCGCGCTCGTTCCGGCCTTAAGGAACTTGACGATAGGCGCGACAGCCTCATCGTCCCGATACGCCATGCGTATCCGATCATATAGATCCGTGTCAC